TTATGAATGTAAAGAGTGTGGGGAAACTTTTAGAGATTCCTCAGATCTGACTGCACATAGAAGATTCCACAGTGACTCTCCACTATATTCATACGGAGTGTGTCAAAGCCTCTGGTGAGGCGTCACTCCTCCCTGAACATATCGGAACTCACAGCAGACAGAGGCCTTATGAATGTAAAGAGTGTGGGAAAGCCTTTAGGGATTCCTCACAGCACAGTCGACGTTTGCAAACTCACAGTGGAGATAGCCTCTGTGAATGTAACCAATATGGGAAAGCCTTTAGCCGTACCTATGGACTCACTAGACATAAAATAGTCCATGGTGCAAAGAGGCCTTATGGATGTAAGGAGTGTGGGAACACTTTGAGGGATTCATCGGGCCTGACTGCAGGTAGAAGAATACACACTGGAGAGAAGCCTTATGTATGTAAGCAATGTGGGAAAGCCTTCAGAGTGTCCTCCCATGTAGTAGACACATGCGGACCCACAGTGGAGAGAGGCCCTATGAATGTAAGGAATGTAGGAATACCTATGTCTATGACTCACACTTCATACAACACAGAAGAATCCACATTGGAGAGAGGTCCTATGAATGTAAGGAATGTGTAAAAGCCTTTATTTCTTCCACAGCCCTCACTGCACCTATGCGAGTTCATAGTGGAGAGAGGACCTATGAATGTAAGGAGTGTGGAAAAGCCTTTAGTCAACAGTCAAGCCTCAGAACACATAGAAGAATCCACAGTGGAGAGAGGCCCTATGAATGTAAGGAGTGTGGGAAAGCCTTTACTCAACAGTCAAACCTCAGAACACATAGAAGAATCCACAGTGGAGAGAGGCCCTATGAATGTAAGGAGTGTGGGAATGCCTTTCGTCAACTCTCACACCTCACAAGACATACAAGAATCCACAGTGGAGAGAGACCTTTTGAATGCAAGGATTGTGGGAAATCCTTTCATCGACTCTCACACCTCATAACACATAGAAGAATCCACAGTGGAGAGAGGCCCTATGAATGTAAGGAATGTGGGAAAGCCTTTCTCCGAGCCTCACACCTCACAACACATAGAAGAATCCACAGTGGAGAGAGGCCCTATAAATGTAAGGAATGTGGAAAAGCTTTAATGTCTTCCACAGCCCTCACTGAACATACACGAATTCATAGTGGAGAGAGGCCCTATGAATGTAAGGAGTGTGGGAAAGCCTTTCGCCAAACATCAACCCTCAGAAAACATAGAAGAATCCACAGTGGAGATAAGTCCTATGAGTGTAAAGAATGTGGGAAAGCCTTTCTCCCATCGTCAAACCTCAGAAAACATAGAAGAATCCACAGTGGAGAGAGGCCCTATGAATGTAAGGAGTGTGGGAAAGCCTTTATTCTACCAACACACCTCACCACTATTGAAGAATCCACAGTGGAGAGAGGGTCTGTCAATGTAACGAGTGTGGGAAATCCTTTACTCATGGGTCAGGCCTCACAAAACATAGAAGAATCCACAGTGGAGAGAGACCTTATGAATGCAAGGATTGTGGGAAATCCTTTCATCGA